CCCTAATCTGCCTTAGGTACTCAACACAGAGTATAAGCACTTAAGATCAGGACTTGAATGGGCAGGAAGTCTAGGGAGGGAGGTAGAATTCCTGTAGATGCCTCTTCAGGCCAGTGTTGTTGCTGCACTGAGTACTTAGGAGGGTATAGTATGGAGAAACTAATCTCTCCCCATTCCCCCAACTAGGTTTCAGTGATGTACACCAGGGTAGCCCTCATCCACTGCTACTGTTGTGTTAAATTGTGCTGCTGTTCCTGCTGCTGTTGAATGCCAGGTCAGCCCAAAACAAAATCCACAATTTAATTGTGGATGAGGCAGATTTTGCTTTGGGTGACCTGGCATGCAGCAGATGACCCGTGGACAAGCTTTCTGAGGCAGCCAGCAAGTATCAGGAGACTTTGTGAGAAAATTATCATCCTGTGATCTTTTCTTCCTTGCTGTATCAGCCACCTTTTTGCTATTGATCCACTGAGAGATCTGAGTGTGGCTTACCTTTAGCAGCTCCCAATGTAAAGTTTCCAATCCCATCCCTTCACTTTCCCTTAGCAGATCTTGTTGTCTATACTTGTTTTTCAAATCAAAATTGTAAACCCTAACATTCCCTTGAGTGGTTTTTATTTATGTCTTCTGCTTCACTAGGGTGCTTTCTTTGCTTCCTTGGAAAGCAGATTTCATGCTTCTTCCCTCCCCTCACACCTCTTCCGCTCTGTGACAGCCACAGAAATGACTAGCCTGTTACTCTCCCCTTTAATTCTTTTCTCTTTGTGCTCTGTCTACCAGGAAGCAGTTTGTGTTCTGGCTCCCTCTTTTCCTGCTTACCCCTGCTGCTGCCCAACAGCAAAGCTCATCCTCCTGTCTTTGCACTCACCTATTTTCTGTCAGTTGAAGAAGTGCTATTTTATTTCCCCACTCTCATTTCTGACAGCCCAAGAATGAGTTTGTTTTCTGCCCCCCTTTCATCTGTTCCCTACTTATGCTTTCCTTTGCAAGAGGATATGGCACTTAATGGAGATCCCTACTATGGACATGGCACTTACTTGGGAATGCCAACAGGGAGACGATTGGGAAAGGGTTAAACTTACACAGCTTAGGCTTGCTGAAGCTGTTTATGGGGAAAGGATGCTTAAGTGGGGGTATGACTATCATGGCATGAAGTGGAGCGTGGTGGAGATGGAGAAGATTACTTATTACATTCTAGCTAGTGGAACGATTGCTGATGGATAGGTAATTCTCTTGCTCTTAGTCTTCTATTAGTGCTGCCAAGCCTGTATATGTGATACATGCATGGATAATGGTCCTAGAATCACTCAAGGGTAGCTGTGCAGATATTGTGTAGTTCATGCCATGGCACTGTTTCAGATGGTGGGAGGGTTCAGCAGATGTGTATGGGGGTTGGGGTGATTGGTACAATCATCAATGGCAGTGGCATCAGTCTCAGCCCTAGTCCTTGAAGCTGCATGTCTCCTTCCTTGAGTCAGGAATGAAGTGCAGGATGCAGTCAGTACATCATGACATTTGATATCAGGTCATCCTCCACATCCAGAATCATGTACAGGGAATGCTACTGGTCCTTTGTTGTTGTTGTTGTTATGTACTATCAAGTTGCCTCAGACTTACGGCAAACCCATGAATGAAAGTCCTCCAAAATGTCCTGTCCATGATAGCACCACTCAGCTACTCTAAGTTCAACCCTGTGATGTCCTGTATGGATTCAATCCATCTCATATTTGGCCTTACTTTGTTTCTTCCTTCAACTTTTCCTAGCATAATTGTCTTCTCCAGTGAGTCTTACTTTCTCATGAAGTGTCCAAAATATGACAGCCTCATTTTAGCTTCTAGGAAAAGCTCTGGCTTGATTTGATCTGTGACCCACTTGTTCATCTTTCTGTCATTCCCGGGTATTCACAATGTTCTCCTCCTCCAGCATTATGTTTTGAATATATCAGTTTTCTTTCCTGTGCAGCTTTCACACCTGTTCATTGTGATGTGAATGCAACATTGATCTTGGCCTTTGTCTCCTGTGAAATGTTCTTGCATCTTTTCTAGTTCCTTCATTGCTGCCCTTCCAAGTTTCAGTCTTCTTTGAATTTCTTGACTGCAGTCTCGCTTTGAATTGATGACTGAGCCAAGGTATGTAAAATCTTTCAACATGTTGGTTTCTTCATTATTATCAGTGCCCTGATTTTGCATGTTGTTCTTTCACTTTCATCAGGTGTCACTTCAAGTCATTGCTGCTTTCTGCCACTAGTATAGTTTCATCTGCATATCTTAAATTATTGATATACCTTCTGCCAATTTTCACTCCTTCTGATTGTAATCCAGCTTTCCTTATGTTCCGTGTACAGATTGAACAGTCAGGGAGATAAAAATACATCTTTGTCTGACACCTTGTCTCTGGGAAACCATTGTGTTTCTCAATAGTCTAGCCTAACAGTAGCATCTTGTCCATAATACAACACAATCAAGTGCTGAGCCATGCCCGTTTCTTTCAGGGCTGACCATCTTATGATCCAGACAGTCAAAGCCTTTGCATAGTCTATAAAGTATAGACTGATGTTTTTCTGAAATGCTTTGGTGCATTCCAGTAGCAATGCATTTTTGTAATATGATCTCTGTTGCCTCTTGCTTTTTGTAATCCATCTTGAACACCAGACATTTCTCGCTCTATATAATGTAGCATCTTTGTTGTCATTTTGCTTGAGTGGGAAATTAATACAATGATCCTATGGTTGCTGCCACTTTTGCATGCCCTTTCTTGGGAACTGGAATGTATTTTCAATCTGTGGGCCATGTTTTGGAGTGGCTGCACAACATTCCATGCTGGCTGTGGGAGCAGCCAAGAAGGGCAGTGTTCCCTGTGGAGACACACATTGCTGCCCATGCAAGTCTTCTCTCTCTTGTCCACTCTTCCATGCCAAGTTAAATTTCCGTTTGCTAATTAGGTGGTTGTCTCTGATTACTGTTATATTTTGAAAGCTATTTTCTTTAAAAGAAAAGAAAATCAGTGTGTTTTTGTATCTGAGGCATAGTTTAGGCTGTAATGTATTTTTTAGAAGTGAGCTCCATTGAAACCAGATGAACCAGTACCCCAGTCTGAAAGTTTTGTGTTTCCTTCTAAGTAAATAGTTGATGTGGGTCAGTTTTGATAGTGGTTATCTACTTGTTTGGAAACAGGGTTTATTAAATCAGTGTGAAAAGTATCATGATTAGTACTTACTGTGCTTTCTGAAGAGCAGCATCCCATTGCACAGAATCCTGTTCAGAGCAATCACCCAGAGAACGTTTCCTCATTTGTCATTTGCCTTACTGAATCTGGGATATTAATTGAAAGCAAGTTTTACTGATATGAGTGGGACATACTTTTATGTAAGTGTGCTTAAGCTTGAAGCCTTAATAGTACATAAGGTGTAGCTTAATTTCCCTTTGGTATCAAAAAATTTAGAGGTTAAAAGGTGAAAGCACTTTTTGCCTAATATGTGCTTACCTTTCTTTTTTCATCAAACCCAGGTGAGGCAGTGGCCATCCTGATTCAGTGTCTAGACTTGGTAATGGGCTGGATGATGGCCAATAAACTCAGGAGACTCAATCCAGACAAGATGAAGGTTCTGTTGGAGGGTAGATTGTCTGTCGACTTAGGAGATATTCAACCTGTCTTGAACAGGATTGCACTCCCCCTCAAAGGCAAGGCCTGTGGTTTGGAAATGTTCCTAGATCTGGAATTGTCACTTGAGTTGCAGGTGGACTCAGTGTCCCAGAGAACCTTTTATCAGCTTAGGCTGATTTACCAATTACAACCCTATCTGGACAGACAGAGCCTAGCTACAGTAATGCATGCACTGATAACCTCTCATTTGGACAACTGTAATGCTCTTTGCGAGTCCCTTGGACTGCAAAGAGATCAAAACAGTCAATCCTGAAGGAAATCAACCCTGACTGCTCTTTCGAAGGGCAAGTACTAAAGCTGAAGCTCAGATACTTTGGCCACTTAATGAGAAGGAAGGATTGATTAGAAAAGACCCTGATGCTGGGTACAATTGAAGGCAAAAGGAGAAGGGGATGGCAGAGGTTGAGATGGCTGGATGAGGTCATTGGAGAGGTGGGTGTGGGCTTAGATGTACTCCAGGGGATGGTGGAGAACAGGGAAACCTGGAAAAATCTTGTCCATGGGATCTTGAAGAGTCAGGCACGACTTTGGGACTGAACAAAACAGAACAGAACAATGCTGTCTGCATGGGGCTGCCTTTGAAAATGATCTGGGAACTTCAACTAATCCAAAATAGAGCAATGCAGTTGTGTAACAGGGATTGGGTCGTGAGATCACATCATCTCAACCCTCTTTAAATTGCACTGGTTGCCATTTCAAAGTGCTTGTATTAACATACAAAGCCAGATTATCTGAAAGAACAGGCTATCCCATATATACCTACCCAAGTCCTAAGATCATCCTCTGGAGTCTTTCTCAAGGAGCCCTCCCCTAGGGAAGTAAGAGGGGTGACAATCAGGAGAAGGTCCTTTTCGATTGTGGCACCCCATCTATGGAATAAGCTCCCTAGAGAGGTTTGCCTGGCAACTACCCTTTTTTCCTTTCAGTGTCAGATGAAAACCTTTTTATTTTCCAGGCATTTTAGTAGTTAAATTTGTAATTTTAATATGGTTTTATTAGATGCTGCTGCTGTACCTATGTGCCAATTTTATCAGTGGTTTGGGAATGTTTTTAATATTATTGCTTATTGCCTAATTGTTTTATTGTGCTGTTGTTATTTTCGCTCGTTCACTCGTTCATTTGTTTATGTTTTAACCTTGTAAATGACCCAGAATGCCTTTGAGGAATTGGGCGGTATATAAATGTAATAAATAAATAAAATTGTGTAGCCTAATTCATAGTTATCCCTTACTAATGTTTTAGGGAATAGTTCAGCATGCGAGAGTGACATCTAATTTAAATTTACGTGTTTGAATAGATAATAAAAGTTGATGGTCTCTCTCTTCTTTCCTTTCAGAAATATGGACTACTTGATCTTGAACACCTGTTTATTGCAAGCATGAGGATCCAAGAAGATTTGAAATCAATTTTGCAAACTTGGAGATAAGGTCTTAGTGAGTAGAGGCACTTTTAAGAATGAACACTATAGCCAATTGTGTTGGTGAATATAGAAGGATGAGAAGAACACTATGATGGCAAAGAACAAAGAAGCTCGTCCCCCATCCTATGCTATTAGCGTGGTTGGCCTTTCTGGGACTGAAAAAGACAAAGGGAACTGTGGAGTTGGAAAGTCGTGTTTGTGCAATAGATTTGTGCGGTCAAAAGCAGATGAATATTACCCTGAACATACCTCTGTGCTTAGCACAATTGACTTTGGTGGACGAGTTGTTAATAATGATCATTTTTTGTATTGGGGTGACGTAATACAATGTGGAGAGGATGGAATAGATTGCAAAATTCATGTTATTGAACAGACTGAGTTTATTGATGACCAGACTTTTCTGCCTCATCGGAGTACGAACTTACAACCTTATATAAAACGTGCAGCTGCAACCAAATTGCAGTCAGCAGAAAAACTGATGTATATTTGCACAGATCAGCTTGGATTAGAGCAAGACTTTGAGCAAAAGCAAATGCCTGAAGGGAAGTTAAACATTGATGGATTTCTATTATGCATTGATGTTAGTCAAGGATGCAATCGGAAGTTTGATGACCAACTTAAATTTGTAAATAACCTCTATATTCAGCTATCAAAATCTAAAAAGCCTATAATAATAGCAGCAACTAAATGTGATGAATGTGTGGAACATTATTTGCGAGAGGTTCAGGCATTTGCTTCAAATAAGAAGAACCTTTTGGTAGTAGAAACATCAGCAAGGTTCAATGTCAATGTAGAGACATGTTTTACTGCACTGGTACAAATGATGGATAAAACCCGTGGTAAGCCTAAAATAATTCCCTATCTGGATGCCTATAAAACACAAAGACAACTTGTTGTGACTTCAACAGATAAATTTGAGAAACTTGTGCAGACTGTGAGAGACTATCATGCAACATGGAAAACTGTTAGTAATAAACTGAAAAATCACCCAGATTATGAAGAATACATTAATTTGGAGGGAACCAAAAAGGCCAAAAATACATTTTCAAAACACATAGAACAGCTTAAACAAGAGCATATACGAAAAAGAAAAGATGAATATATTAATACATTACCAAGAGCTTTTAACACACTTCTGTCAAACCTGGAAGAAATTGAGCATTTGAGTTGGTCTGAAGCTTTGAAGTTAATGGAGAAAAGACAAGATTTCCAGCTATGTTTTGTGGTGCTGGAAAAAACACCCTGGGATGAAACTGATCACATAGATAAAGTAAATGACAGGAGAATTCCATTTGACCTTTTGAGCACACTAGAGGCTGAAAAAGTCTATCAAAATCATGTGCAACATCTAATATCAGAAAAAAGGAGGATTGAAATGAAGGAGAAGTTCAAAAAAACACTTGAAAAAATACAGTTCATTTCTCCTGGGCAGCCCTGGGAAGAAGTTATGTGTTTTGTAATGGAAGATGAAGCTTTTAAATATATTACAGAGATGGATAGTAAAGAAGTATATAGTAGGCATCAACGGGAAATAGTTGAAAAAGCCAAAGAGGAATTTCAAGAAATGCTTTTTGAACATTCTGAACTGTTTTATGACCTGGATTTGAATGCAACACCTAGTTCTGACAAAATGAGTGAAATTCATGCAGTTCTGAGTGAAGAGCCTAGATACAAAGCTTTACAGAAACTTGCACCTGATAGAGAGTCTCTTCTGCTTAAACACATAGGGTTTGTCTATCATCCCACTAAAGAAACATGTCTCAGTGGCCAAAACTGTATGGACATTAAAGTAGAACAGTTACTTGCTGGTAGTCTCTTGCAATTGGATCACGGTCGTTTAAACTTGTATCATGATAGTGCCAACATTGATAAAGTTAATATTTTCATTTTGGGTAAGGATGGTCTTGCACAGGAGCTGGCAAATGAGATTCGGACACAGTCCACAGATGATGAGTATGCGTTAGATGGAAAAATATATGAACTTGATCTTAGACCAGTTGATGCAAAGTCACCTTATCTTCTAAGTCAGTTATGGACTTCTGCCTTCAAACCACATGGATGTTTTTGTGTATTTAATTCAATTGAATCACTTAATTTTATTGGAGAATCCATTGGAAAAATCAGAACAGAAGCATCTCAGATAAGAAGAGACAAATACATGGCCAATCTTCCATTTACATTAATACTGGCTAATCAGAGAGAGAGTGTTAGCAAGCATTTGCCAATTCTTAGACACCAAGGACAGCAGTTAGCAAATAAGTTGCAATGTCCTTTCATAGATGTGCTTGCTAGTACTTACCCACGTAAATTTAATGAGGCTCAAATAAAGCAAGCTTTGCGGGGAGTTCTGGAAGCAGTTAAACACAATTTTGATGTTGTAAGCCCTGTTCCTACAATTAAAGACCTCTCAGAAGCTGACTTGAGGATTGTTATGTGTGCCATGTGTGGAGATCCCTTCAGTGTAGATCTAATTCTTTCACCCTTCCTTGATTCTCATTCTTGTAGTGCTGCTCAGGCTGGCCAGAATAATTCTCTAATGCTTGATAAAATTATTGGTGAAAAACGGAGGCGAATACAAATAACAATATTATCATATCACTCTTCAATTGGTGTAAGAAAAGATGAATTAGTTCATGGGTATATACTTGTTTACTCTGCTAAACGGAAAGCATCTATGGGAATGCTTCGAGCTTTTCTTTCAGAAGTACAAGATACTATTCCTGTTCAGTTGGTGGCTGTTACTGACAGTCAGGCAGATTTTTTTGAGAATGAGGCTATCAAAGAATTAATGACTGAGGGTGAACACATAGCTACTGAGATAACTGCTAAATTTACAGCTTTATATTCTTTATCTCAGTATCACCGCCAGACTGAAGTTTTTACATTATTCTTCAGTGATGTTTTAGAAAAGAAAAACATGATTGAAAATTCCTATATGTCTGATAGTACAAGAGAGACAACTCAAGCAAGTGAAGATGTTTTCCTGCATTCTCCTAGAGGGAACTCTCTTGCTTATAACTATTATCCAGATTCAGAAGATGATACTGAAGCCCCACCTCCTTACAGCCCAATTGGAGATGATGTACAGCTGCTTCCTGATCGGTCAAAATATCGATTAGATTTGGAAGGTAATGAATATCCTGTTCATAGCACACCACTGAACTGTCATGATCATGAACGCAACCATAAAGTGCCTCCCCCCATAAAGCCGAAACCAGTTGTACCCAAGACAAATGTGAAAAAATTAGATCCAAACCTGCTAAAAACCATTGAGGCAGGTATTGGTAAAAACCCAAGAAAGTCTAGAATGGCTTTGCCACCAACAGATGATCTTGAGCAGTCTGATAATTATGCAGAACCAATAGACACTATTTTTAAACACAGAGGGGTTACTGATGATATCTACGCAATTCCAGATGATAGCCAGAATCGTGTGATTAAAATTCGAAACTCCTATATAAATAATGCCCAAGGAGATGAAGAAAATGGATTTCCTGACAGAATTTCAAAGACCCATGGAGAAAGAAGGCCTTCAAAATACAAATATAAATCTAAAACATTGTTTAGCAAAGCCAAATCCTATTATAGGAGAGCACATTCAGATGCAAGTGATGATGAAGCTTTTACAACCTCTAAAACAAAAAGAAAAGGAAGGCATCGTGGCAGTGAAGAAGATCCACTTCTGTCCCCTGTAGAAACATGGAAAGGTGGTATTGATAATCCTGCTATTACATCAGATCAAGAATTGGATGACAAAAAATTGAAAAAGAAGACTCAAAAAGTCAAAGAAGACAAGAAAGTAAGTTTTCTAAAAATATATATTTGATTAAAGTTAAGGCACATTCTTTTTTGAAAGCACAGTGGCCCAGTTTGTACCTAATGAGAAGGTTCCATGGGTAAATTTCTTTGTAGATTTGCTTATTTCTGGTTGGTTTTGTTGTATAAGTTTTAGTGAAGGTTTTTTAAAACAGTGATTTTACTGATGTAAGGCTTAAATTGTTATCTTATTAGTGAGAACTATTACTCTATATGAGAATAAATTCACATTGTCTTGGAGCTTAATACAAAGCTGTAGCTGGGATCAGTTTTTGCTTTATGTTTTAAAGTAGCAGGGAGAGGTACATGTAGTCAAACCATAGGTTTGGAGGTTTGAGTGCTGTACTGGCTATTGTACAGAAGGTTAATAATTCTGTAATTAATTCTGAAATAGATGTCAGTGAAGACATCTGAATTTTAAGTCTTAATTTTTGGAACAGATTTTGCACAGTCTAAAAATGGTGAAAGAGGGAAGAATGGACCCCTAAAAACTCACTTGTTCAATGCTGCATCAGATCACTGGTCATCTACCTTGATATTGAATAGGCTTGCATATAACTAGAAGTCATCACAGTTGAATTTTCCTGTGGGAATTCTACTCACAGTGGCTCCCACCAGTTTGAATGTTTTAGCTCATCATAACTTGGGTGGGATAAAATATTCAATGCCATAACTTGTCACGTGAACTTGGGAAAGGTAGATTATTAGACTGATTAACAAGCCACCCAAAATTCATGGCTTTTTCTATGGTTGTGCGTTGCTTCTTAGGTACCCAGGGAACACATACTTACCAGGATTGCCCATAACAAGCTATAGTGTGCTCCTGCTGTAGTTCAGATATTCAAAATGGTGGCTGTAGCAAGAATCAACATCCATGGTGGCTGCTTGTTACAGAGGAACCAGGTTACTGTGTTGTCCTGACATTCATTGTGGGGTGGGGGTGGATGCATTCATAAGCATGGGATGATACTGATATTTAACATTATCTGTAGTCAGATAGTGCTGTCATTGGGTATAGTTATTATGCCCTGACCTAGGGCCAATCATCTTGTGGAAATGGGCTTTGCGTATGGTTTGCCGTTTTGGATAAGGTGTCTTATGTAAAGGGTTCTGCTCAGGGAAAAGTCCATGTATCTGCAAACCTGCTTACTTCAGTATTGAGCTTTCTGTTAAGATCATTATTTGACAGAGTTTGTAGAACTTGAATGACTGAAAGTGTGTAATATAATTCAGTAACTTTACTGGTAGATACAGTGCTTGTCAGCTTTGCACATTTCTAATAAGTTGGCTTGAATGATTGGTTCTGGAAGGGCATGTCTTCAAAAGAAAAGTTTACTGTGTGGAATAAGTAAGGTTAGTAGTATTGTTTTAGTATGAGCAAAAGTCCTAACAGTTAAATGGTCATCCATACTGCCATTTCTGGCATGCTCATGGAAATCATTTAATATTAAAAATTGTTTAGAACAAAGGGTGTCACTTTGTAATCTGAATAACCTTGGCAAAGGATTAACCTTGTCTACTATGACACTGCTTCTAAAATTTACTTCATGTGAAGCCAAGGAAGACATGTTCACCAATTCCTAATCAGAGGGGCCCAAGAATTTGAGTCTGTCTGATGGCACAGTAATTATTTTGTAAATATTTAATCTGTTTAAAGAATTTAACATATAAATCCTGTATATCAGATATGGACAGATCATATATGTCACTTTCTCAGCTAAGCATGGGTGCCCATCCTGCTGCTGATTCCTTTGTCCTTGGATCCATGCTTCCACTGTTGCTGCAGTTTTATTAGGGAAAAGCGCACTGGTCCATGGGACAGATACAAAGTAATCTCAGCCAATAGGGACGGAAAATTTAAACTCCCATCCTAGCATACCCTGGTGAGAGGGAAAAATATGTGTGAGATTGAGAGTGTGGGCAGCAGGAAAGTATATTTATGTTTTTGCCTGTGCCTGTATGTGCATATGAACATGCATGTAGGTATATCTAATGGTCTTGGGGACAAAAAGAGTGCTCTGCCCTCTTTACATTAACTAAATTCAGTCAGTGAATTAGTAATGGTCATGAAAATGCTTTGAAGCAACTTTGCAAAATGTTATTTTTAAAAATGTGATATGAAATGTGGTGATAATGTAAGTGGTGACCGTGGCTCAGTATTTTACTTCTGTTTGAACTAGTTGATGTAGATCTTTCATACAAGTAGCAAAAAGTTCTCAGAATTTTGGACTGGTAATCCAAATGACGTTTAACAATTGTGTATGCAAATCCAACTCTGCAGTCCACCCCAACCCTGCTTTGAATGTTGTTTAGTTGATAAAATCTATGCAATATTTGATGTTTGGAGTAGGGATATAGCTAGAGCTTGCCTTTTGTACCTACTTGTACTTTGTTTTTTTGGGAGGGGGTCAATGTGCTTTCTATTATAAATTGGACAATGTTTTGATTAAGTTTATTTTACTTTGTGCTATGTGATCAGGTAGGAGATAGTATTACTTAATATTAACTGGGTGCAATTATTTTTGAAATGTCAGGCACAATCTAGTGTTTTGTTTTTGGGTAAAGATAGTGTATTAGATTGTTGTTGTTATATGCTATCAAGTCATCTCCAATTTATGGCAATCCTGTGAGCGAAAGCCCTCCAAAATGGCCTATCCATGATATCTCTGCTTAGCTGTTTTTAATTCAAGGCTGTGGCTTCATGGAGTCAATCCATCTCTTACTTGGTCTTCCTTTGACTTTCCCTAGCATGATTATTTTCTCCAGTGAGTCTTGCCTTCTCATGATGTTTATTAGGTACAGCAGATTTAATTAACAAGTGTGACTACGTTTTGTATTAAGAGGTGTCTGTTGGCCTAAGTACTGTCCTAGACTGTTTGTTTGGAACTGTAACTATCACTGATATTAAATCTTCGGTTAGACATGATTCATTGAGGGGGGTCATTGTGATTTATGTTGCTAATTTTTAAAAAATGCATGAAATTTACCAATTATTTTGGTGTGTGAGAGATAAGACTTCTGGCTTGTACAATATGTAATGTTCATCCAAGCCTGTGTCAGAAAGAAGGGGCCCACAACTGAGACTCAAAAATGAGCCTTGATTCAAGGGGTGTGATAACTGCTATAGTGCCATCTTGAGCTGCATGAGAGCATCTCTCAGCAATCTCCAGGAGGGACAATGCTGATATAAGAAGAAGCCAAAATATAGGCTCCTCCCGGATCTAAATGAGAGGAACAAGGAAGAGGTGCCGCAGCAGTCCCTATATCAAAAGGAAACCTTCCTTGTATGTTCTGTAATGTAAATTGTGCATTAATTAGAATGAGAAGGGTTTTATAATTTCAAATATTTTTTAAAAAATTTGCTAGAAAAAGATAATGATTAGGCAATATTTGAAAAATAAAGGCAAAGCAATTGAGAGACAGTAAGTCTGTAGTACCTCAGACTTTGCCATTGAGGTCCATAACATAAAAGTATTATAGCTATAATTAACTATAATTCCAGAAGATTAACACTATGTTGGCATTTGATCATTTTAATTCTAGTGCACTTTATTCTGTACTATTTAAGGAAGCAAAAAGATGGTTCAGTTTAAATAGCTTACAGTATGGAATGGTGTTGCATCTTTGGGTAAGACCTATGTTGCACTTCATGTAGAAATTTCTTTGATGTGTTTAAGTGTAGGTCTATAGTAAGGGCTTAAATCAAAAGATGCAGCGTATCTTTCCTCCCCCATCTTCCCCAGTTCTGTTTATCATTCAAAAGGCTGCCCTTGCATGCAGTGGGTGCTAGAATAGTTCAGGATATGGCATGATGAACTGTAGTGAAAGGAGAATTGACAAGAAATGTGGGGCATCTTGCATGGGTGGAAGTGCATGGATCCAAGCTACTGTCATTCATAACTCTAAACCGTATCATTAGTTGTCACCCTATATGAACAGAAGTACAGAAGGATTTTCACACAGTGGAAAAATTATATTGCTCTTCATACTAAAGTCATTATAAATCAATACCTTGAAAATAAATTTTGATTTTAAAGAAATTCTCTTGATGCAGGTACTATCTTATGTAGATAGTAGTGAATTTTACTACAGTTAGTAACTTTCTTGGCTAAAAATACTGTTGTTTCATTGTAGCAAAAGAAGAAAACCAAGACATTCAATCCACCAACTCGTAGAAATTGGGAAAGTAATTATTTTGGGATGCCCCTACAGGATCTGGTTACATCTGAAAAACCTATTCCACTTTTTGTTGAGAAGTGTGTGGAGTTTATTGAAGATACAGGTAGGAAAAAAGTGGGCTTCAAGAAAGTTTAACTTCTTTTTTCTTGTGGACTATTTATGAAAATAGTGACAATTTGTGCTAAAACAGAAATATTTAGTGTAATGTGTGTGCTGCGGACTGTTTGTCCATATTTATACGAAAAAGATCTGTTTAGACAGGGGTGGGAAACAGAGTCCTCCCTTTGGCCTGAAGTGACATATGACTTTCCTGTGGCCTTGTGTTGTTGAAATTTGGTGGTTGCCACAAGTGCATCTTTATCCAAGTGCCAACTTTATCTTGCTTTATGTTTAAATAGGATAATTTGTTCATGGTGGTTTGCCAACTGTTTTTGCTATTGTCACATCACTGTTAATAGGGGTGTGGCTTCTAGTGGTGTCTGGAGGCTGGAAATTGTCCCTGGAGCCCCCAAAGTTGCCCAGCCCTGATTTAGATCAACTAAATTAATTCTGAAATATGACTGTATTTAAATAGCAATGCATGTTTTTAAGTACCTACTTCAGAATCATGACTGGTTGCTTGGATGTGTAGTTACTGAGGCAGCAGACTTATTAATGTTTCTGGTGACTATGAGTCCTTCCTTTCACCCTCTTGACATCCCCTGATATTTTCACAGCAGAACTGAATTACATTAGTAGGATCAAACAGATATAACAGCCATTTCCTTAAAATGTGCCACAAGACTATGTGATGGTGACTTCTTAAGGCCATCCAGTGAGCTCTGAGCTGAAATAGTTTTTGAACTGAGAGACCTTGGGTTACATCTAACATATAGTTATCAAAGTGCTTGGAAGTGCCATTACTTCTATAAGAATCTGGGTTTTGTGTTATCAGTAGCAGTTAAATTTACTTAACCCAGGGGATTCTATGATGTTGCTATTCAGGGTACTTATCTTGGGAATGCTGAACACCTGGGAATAAGGATGCATGTGTAGTACTTATTCTTTTAAAAGAATCAAATATGAATATGAACATTAAAATGTATGTTTATTTCTAGCTTTCAGAATCCAGTTGCTTGATTAATTGTGGAATATGATGGTCTTGAGAACCTTGATCATTTTTGTTATGTGTAATTCACCATTCTAAAGCATATTCTGAAAGTATTAAAATTAGAATGGATTCTATGTGGTGAGAAGTTTCAGAAATATTTAACTGAAATAGCAAATAACTAAATCTCATTAAGATAAGTTTTCTTTTCCCACCCTCTCCCCAATTCTTTCCCTTCACTACTGTTGATAGCCCAGTACCTTTCTTGTTGTCAGCAGTTATTATCTTTAACTTATATTTATCTGTACATTTAGCATTCTCCTCCTAAGACTGTGGAATCATGCCACTGAATTACTTGTCTGGTACTTCTTTAGTATGGTCTCAGATCCAGCACCTGGAAGTCCTGTCATGTTAAAACCAATTAAAACAAACCAAAACAAAAGCTTTACCACTTTTGGTAATGTACAAGAGTGTGCTGAGATTTCAGAAACAAAAAGTCTGCAACATTGGTTGGTTTTTCTTTTAAAACTGGTAGCAGTTTACTGGAGTATATAATTGTAGCTAGAGTCAAACCGATAATTGCGAAAAAGGCACCTGCTTTTCATACACTTTGCAAATCAAGGGTGAAGATCATTATTACAATGAAGTGTCATTTACCCACAGAAATAGTCTGGGAGCCAGTACATGGTAGAGCCTTAGGCAAAAGCATGTTTTTTCAGCTTTCCAGGATTGTGTAGGTTTTTGTCTGCACATGCTATCTCATGTTTGTGCTTCTTTCTTTCTTTTTGCCACCCCAGTTTTCCAAGGAAGTTCCTCACCCCAGATTTAAATTAAAGAACTTAAATGCACCAGTACCTTATATGTTCTTTTTCAATAGAAGTTAAAGTAAAGCAGACACATTTGCCTTGTGTTAAGAGTACATTTTCTTAGAACTTGTCTGTTGACAGTGGATGATCATAAACACTATTTGTGAATGGTCACTGTACTTTTAAATGCATTCAAGTTCTAATGCAATTATCAGATTCCTTTTCTAAGCATCTAATATCCATATGATCACCCTATTTGCACTTTTTTTTACACAGACCTACACACATGCACACACAAACACTTCTGTGTATAACCTAGGATAATGTCGTATAACCAGCAAAGTAGACTCAAATCTACTGCATTTATTATGTACTAAACTTGTTAGAATGAAATCCAATAAAAATTGGGAGAGGGGACCATTTTTTGCCTTCTCTGTGCACCCTCAAGATTTGATTTGGGATGTTGGATCTTTCAGAGATTTGCTGGGGCATGGGGCAGCATTCAAGAGGAGAGAAGGCACAGTCTTGTTGCATCAGTGGATTTCGAACAGCACATCATTGAATTCCACCTTTAGTCTAAATAGGCCCCATGACTCTTGTTTTGTTAGATAATAATGTGTTTTCTTGGCATATTGGAATGTTTTCTACGCAGTTTCACAGTGAGTTATATGTGCATAGACCAGTAATCAAAATCTGTTAGAAAGTTTTAAAGAACTAAGGGACGTATTTGACAGCTTCAAAGGGATAATTAATATTTTTTCAGTTAAATATTCATAGTAAACATATCTCATTGAAATAAAGACATGTTTCAGAGGCAAATGTAGCTAATGACAGTATAACTAAAGTTTGCCCCAACAACATCACTGAACCAGAGTCTATTTATGTTGAAATAGAAGGGTGGTTGTTAGCATCACAAGCATATTTCTTTGAGTTACTAAATTAATTAGTGTGCCAATGGGTTTCAGTAACTTTGTTTAAATTTAAATAGCAAATAAGTAAGTTACATGCTGTTATCGTTATATTTTTACAAGCATCCCAATAAAAAGTTCTAGATAATAGTATTTAATAATATTGTGTGCTTTAATTTTCCCTGCAAATGTTTCTGGTAAAATAGTTGTCATGGATTAGGAGGAAAAAAAAAGATGGGGTACTTTAAAGAACTTCCCAAAGAACTTTAAATAACTTCCCAAATATAAGTGAGATAAATATGTGACATTAGATCTCTCTAAGGTGGCAACATCCAATTGTGTTTACCAACATCTCCTGTCAGATCTAGCCAGCATAATCAATGGTGAGGGATGATGGGAGTTGCAGGCTGAAAAATTTAGATGGACACAAGTTGCCTACACCTCCTACTAGGCCATCAGAACATTTTCTGATGGAAATTATTTTCCAATGCAAACCTAATTTGTATTGGAAAAAAAAACCCTAGGAAATTCATATCCCTGTCACATCCCAACTGTTTAAAACCCCTGGACAAGCCTTCTTTTTTATCCCTGATTTTTGAAGAACAGCAGCAAAAACTTTCTGATTAAAGTTTACTTTTTGACAAGCATCTTCTCTTTCATTTATTCTACATGCCAGATAGTATATTGCATTTAAGTTCTTACTTCCTCTTGGGATTATTTTAATTTCTTGCTTCCTGTGTCAGTGCATTATAGTGCAGTATTGTCTTTTCAAATGGTACATTGAGTTTTGGTCATTTCTAAAATGAACTATTCCCGCTATATGACATTATTCTTTGATTAGCTTCACATAAGCTGTACATGAGAGAAACAGAAGAAGGAACTGTGAGAACTGAGAATAGCACTGGAGCTCCTTCATGAATGTCCTTAAGACTACATGCAATTAAAACAAAACAATAGCTAAACATATTTTGTTTTCCAAATGGTGAAAATTCATATACTTATAAATTTGATCATTGTTTTTATAATGATCATTGTATAATGATCATTAATTCGATCATTGTTTTTATAATGGGATGCAAGTGCTATGGTAAATTGTATTAGTATGAACTAGTTCAGCTCATTTTACTATTGTGCTAAGGCAGTTTATGCCAGTGCAATATACAGTTGCACCCCATTGGATACCTCCCCCACTTTATTTCACATTAAGTTTCATTCAGTGAAAGTGAGACTTAAATTCTTCAAAGACTAGTTAGGATTACAAATTTCATGTACAAAGAAATAAAGCTATAACAATTGAGGAAAAAAGATAATATGAATACTGTTTTTACTGGAAGAATTCTACATCATGTGAATTCCTTGGTTGAATTTTGTGAAATATGATCATGTGCTATTTACTTTCTTTTCACAAAAGGTCTGTGTACTGAAGGTCTCTATCGTGTTAGTGGCAATAAAACGGATCAAGACAACATTCAGAAGCAATTTGATCAAGGTAATGGGGGCTTGGTTAGCTTCAAATAGTATATCTGAGCAACTACTGTATATAAACACAGCAGTATGACCTATAAATAAGATAATCATAGAATTTGGAGAACATACATTCATATTAGTTGGATTGAGTAGTAGTAGTTATGATTTGTTGGCAGTGGGCATTGTTAATGTATCATTAAGGCAGAGTCTTGTGCAGTGGTTAAGTGTTCTTGGTAACTGTATCAGTTATTTTATTCATTTTGGCAGCCTGCTTTTCTATAAGATGGCCCTCAAATGCTGATTACAGTACAACAACGAAGCAAATAAAATACTATGTAGAACCATAAAACAATTCATTTTGAAAATGATAGTTATCAAACAGACATACCAAAACAAACAAAAAATATTCTTTCCATTTCCAGCTTGTCTCCTTCAAAATCAAAATCAAATTATTTGTCTGTAACATTGAGATGTGTCAGAAGGTGCAAATAATGTGTGTGTAACAATTGTCAATTGGATTGTAACAGTATGGATCAGGAGATGAGATTTACTAGGCCGACCAATCTGCCTCTTCATACACATGGTTCATGCTATAGAAATGCAATCCTATTTATGTTTAGGAACTTGGGCTGGATTCTGGATTGATGGTAGAGTGTCTCCTGGACCCTACTAGATCAGGAATTGGAGCTTGATACTGTAGTAGCCTTCCTTGCTACCATTGTAGTACTTTTTATATCCATTCCAGCATGCCTCAGAGACTTACATAGATCATCTTTCCTTTCATACTTTTGGTCATTCTTTGCATCCAGACTCTAGAACTCATGGAAACACAGGAGCATGTCCCAGTTACTCAAACAACTGGGCTGGTGTAGAATATGCTTTAGTTAACTCTGCAACCAAGCAACAGACACTAGTACAGTTCTCCTGTGGATTGTTCTAGTTATTACCAGAAACTTCGGAAGAGCTAGTCTTCTGCTGGTACTGCAAGTGGTACTTCCTTACCCCCCTCAAAATGTACCCTATAACAGTGTGAGAGATAGGGTCCATTCCTTGGTTTCACAGTGGACATCAGAGAATTTGGAAGTTACAGGACCTTGCTGCTTTTAAATGCCTCCAAAACTCAGCATGTGACAGTTTTTTTGCTTCTTGTATATAATTGAAAATATCAGTAAACTGCTAATAAGAAAGCAAGAAACACTCTCCATGTTTTGCCTTAATGCAGAGAGGGCAACATTGATGACAGTTGCCCATTTTTCCTATCTGTCGGGCAGAAAAAAATGTCATATCCTGGTGTGGTGAATACAGGTGCAATCTT